CAGTGGCTCCAAAGGTAAGGCTTTCTGCTCCTGTAAAAATGTATAGCCTTATAAAGCTACAGGGCAGTTCTACTTTCTCCTATAAGGTTGCTGTGAGTTAGAATTGACTCTGGCAGTGAGGTGGCTTTATTCTATTGCTAAGTCAGAAGAATGATAAGATTAAAATTTATCTAAGTGGGTCACCATATTAAAAAAAAATTCTCTGAAGGTCAACAACTCAACTCTTGAATAACTAACCAAATAGAATTTCTCTACAAAGTCTTATAATTGGGCTATTCATACAAAGTCAGGTAGCATTCTGCAAGAAACACACTTTTAGGGGAAAAGACTCTTAACAACAGGTCTTCAGGTACCAGTGAATAGGCCAGGGGGCAAGAAGAAAATAATGTGAACAGGAAACATAGTAGGGAGAAAAGTTCTTCTTTCTTCCACTGAGTAAGAATTGTATCAAAAGTTTTCCCATGCTAAAATAAGAGAAATGAGTTGAGTTTAATGTATACTAGCAATAAACCTGTTAGCTAATAGCTTAGTAAAGTTAGCATGGAAAATAATTGGCTCATTTAACACTTTCTGAAATTCTACATGTAACACTTTTTTTCAGATAGAGTAAAAAGCAAAATAACAATAAAGTACTGATAAAATACCACAGTAGATATTTTCTTCTTAAATAAGGAAATTTAATTTGGAAAAAAAGGAAGATGACAAGAAATTATGAATAGATATAAACAAATGTAGTTCTTACCCGGTCTTCCTTCCTGGGCAGCTGATTTTTGATAAGACTCTTTGTTCGCCTAAGAAACCAGCCAGACAGTTTTTTTGCCAACCTGCACATGGCTTTACGACCAGTAGCTAGCTCTCTTTTTGTTGCGGTGTGTCTTTGGCCATGTTCTACTGTGTCAGAAAACTGCTTCTTGAAGTGGATTCTGCTACCTAAAAGTCCTGGCACAGCCCTTTATAAAGGTAATAAGAAAATGTTAGGACTTTACGAAATTATCTAAAAAGAAAAACACAAGAAAAATAACAAATCACTTGTTTATAGATGACCACCACAACAAAATCAATACTAGAATGTTCTTCATCAGTTTCAGTTTATAACTATAAGATGATGGCCTCAACAAGTACCTTCTGTGCTGACTGAAGGCACCGAAAAATAAGCCTTAAATGGTATTATTAACCCCAAAATACCACAGATAAAAATCAATGCAAAATCCACAAAGGATGGGAAGCTGGATAATGAGCAATATGACACAATAAATAGAGGAGATAAGCATGTGCAGAGGTTTTCATGGGACTCTCTAGCTGGGATAGCATATTTAGGATTCAACACTTTTGCAAATAGATTTTTTAAATCATTTTATTGGGGGCTCATACAACTCGGATCACAATTCATACATACATCCATTGTATGTTAAGCACATTTGTACATTTGTTGTCCTCAAACATTTGCTTTCTACTTGAGCCCTTGGTATCAGCTCCTCATTTTTCCCCGCACCCCCCCACTCCCTTCTTCCTCATGAACCACTGATGATTTATAAATTATTATTATTTTGTCATATCTTACACTGTCCAATGTCTCCCTTCACCTTCTTTTCTGTTGTCTATCCCCACGGAGGAGGTTATAGTAGATCCTTATAATTGGTTCCTAGCACACAAGTTATCATTAAACTATAGACTAGGAAATTAGGTAATTTCTCATAAAATGTATTTTCACTTACCAATCCATGACACACCATAGTTCCTTCATGTTGTTTTGAAGAATCGTTCCGGTGAGACCAATGCGGACACTACATTTTAAAGCTTTCATAACTTCTGTTACTCTAGCCTTTGGATTCTTGATTCTATGAGCTTCATCCACAATGACAGCTGACCACTCCAAACTATAAAGTTAACATTTTTAAAAAGGAAAGAAAGTTTGAAGAACTCTATTAGTCAATATAGAGGATCCCTGGTGGTATAATGGGTTAAGTGCTGGCTGTAGCTGAGCTGGGAAAAAGATCTTTCTCTAACAAAGTTCTAGACATTTTTCTTTCTTTAATATGATTTCATTGGATTCTTATTTCATTAGTTAAATGGCCAGAGGTATAGACCAACATGAATTTAAAAGATATATGGAGGTAAAAAGGATAGAATGAAAAAATGTACTTTAACACCACTAAAATTGTAATAAAGATTTTTTAAAGAAAGAAATATAAAATGAAAGAAACAAAATCTGCAACTCTAACTCAGAATTTTAAAAATCAGGGACTCAAGATTTTTAAAAGTTATATTACATAGATCTGTCAACTAAAAAGGTTACACTCAATTGTTGCCACAGTATCAAGGAACACCCATAGTGCTCTGTGTGGGTTTTATAATTTTGTGTCAACTTGAAGTGTAGGGGTGGTGTCTAACCTGTCAGCTCACAGCCTGATGGTGAAAGATCTTGGGAACCTTCTATCTTTCTGTTTCACCTTGCTGCTGTTGAGTCACTCAGAGAGCTGCCAGAGCCACTGCCATTAGATTCACAAGACTTTGCACCCACTGGCTGGGGACGTTCCTGCGTTCTGCATCATTGGATGAGTCTGGAGAGGGACTTATGGACTAGTATTGGACATGTGGACTTGAGTAGGACTGGGCTGGGACGTTTTCTCAATACATAATTACTTCTTGACATAAAGCTCTTTCTTACACACATATGAGCATCACGGGATTTGTTTCTCTAGTCTACCCGGCAGAGAATGCTCAATGCACCAAAGAAAACTAAGAGCTCAAAGGAGAAATGTTTGGTTTCAGGCAGGGTCAAAGGAAATACAAGATGAGCCAAAAGCCACAGAGAGACTCAAATACAAATAGAAACATGCCCAAAGAACAAAGAAGCCAAACCAATCAGAAAAATAAAGGTACAAGAGTGCTAGGCAAATAAAAATAATAATTTAGACTGCTCTGTCACACCATATACAAAAATTAACAAAATAGATTATAGACCTAAATATAAAAACCCAAACTATAAAACTTATAAAAGAAAC